GGGCGGGGGGGGGGGGGCACGATGGGGCGCAGCGCGTGCAGGAGGTGTCCGATCGCAGGCGCAATCGGGTGCACCCTGCCTGGGTGCGGAATGCAGTTCGAAGCTCCGCCAGCTGCCCGCCCGCCGGCTGCCCGGGCCAGGGCAGCGAGTCGAGGCCCGCGGTCGGCTGGCGGTGCTGCAGCGCTGGTGCCCCAGGCGGGGGTTTAAGGTTGACGATTTAGGGTTCAGGGTTGGGTGCTAGGTGCGCACTCGAGGTCTGCTGCCGCCGTGATCCAGTCTGGCAGCAGCCTGTACGTCAGCAGGGGCTCCTCCAGGCCTGGCGGCGGGCACCAGTGGACGCCGTGTGCGCGCGCGGGTCAACGTGTGGGTTCAGAAAGCGTGTGTGTGTGTGTGGGGGGGGGTGCGTGTGTGTCTGGTGCCAGAGGGCGGCCGCACCCGCCTGCGCCGCAGCTAGAAGGCCCTTAGCTTGGCTTCACACCACACGGAGCCCTGCAGAAGCCAGCCGCACGCCCGGCAGGGCCACCACCCACCCAGCAACCCGCAGAGGGTTTGTGCATTCGTGCCGCTATCACTCAAGGCGCCGCCCGCGCCGGCCCCTCACCCAGCAGGAAGTTTTTCAGGAGGGTCGCGATGACGTGGGGGCTGGTGCCGGGGGGGATCAGCGCGGGGCGGCCGCCCGCTGCGGACAGGGCGGCCGGGTGCCAGCGCGGGGCGCGAGGTCAGCGCGCCCTGCGCAGTTGCTGTCACCGCGGCGACAGGGCTGCGCCCCTGCTTTGAGCCCGAGGCGGCGCTCAGCCCGGGACGACTGTGGCCGCAATCACCTAGGCAAGGGGCGGTTGCTGGGCCCCTGAACCCCTGGACGAGTGGTGCTGTGAGGCGCATGTGCTCCTTGCCGCCTCAGCCCCGCTGCACTTGACCCTTGGCGCATGCTTTGAGGGAATACAGCAGGGGCCCCAGGCGTGCGCGCGCGCACCGACGCAGGTGGACATCCGCTCGACCGCCTCTGCCGGCGCCACGTGCTTGAAGATGCCCTCCGTGCGCACGCCCTCCCCTATGACCAGCGCGGTGCAGCACGCCAGCACGAGCTGCGGGACGCTGGGCTCGCCGCGGCAGAGGGCCTGCGGAAAGCAAGGAGAGGGGTGCAGGGGGGGTGGCGCTTTTGGCAGACCACGCGTAGGGCTGCAGGGCAGCGCTGTTGTCTGGGCAGTGTCTAGGGGCCCGGAGCACCATCTGCGGGGGTTCGAGCGGGTGTGGCGCAGCCGACTGCGGCGGGCGGAAGCGCCATGCGGGCGGCTCGGCTCGATTGGCTGTGAGACTAGGCGCGGCCGCGGCGCGTCGCTCGAGCACCCTGCAAGGATGCACGCGGCACCGCGCCGCGACCAGCACCGCGCCGGGGGTGGTCTCGCGTGACCTTGCCCACCAGCAGGGTGTCGCCCGCGGCGATGCGCTTGAAGCCCTCAGCCGCCGACTGCACGAGCCTGCTGCTGGTCACCCTGGCAATGGCGCCAAGCCTGGACAAAGGAAGGGGGGATGGGTTGCCAGGCCCGGGCGCCACACTGGGTTTTCCCGAAACCAGAAGCAGCGGGGAGCAGATGTGCCGGGCGGCGCCCGCGGCGCGCACTGGTTCGGCTTCCAGGCAATGGCAGGCAGGGTGCCGATGCATGCAATCGCCGGCGGCTGCAAACTGGCAAGTTCATCGCCCCCCACCCGCACGCTGTTGTGCACCGGCAGCTGCGAGGCAGCTGCGGAACAAGGAAACAGCCGCCGCTCTGTCAGTCTCCCAGGGCCATCCCATTGTCGCGCCTCACCCTGTGGCGG